ATATAGTTGTGGTGTATAACCTTTCAATACACCAAGAGGAGTCGAACAAAAACAATTGTTGCTTTGTGAGTCTAGAGCCTTTCAAGTACAAATAGTGTCTCTATAAATTATAGATACATTGTAATATTTAAAAATTTAATAGAAAGAAAAAAAATTAAAACACCTAAAGTAAATATAATGCTCATCATTAATCAACAATTCAAATTGTGTACGAACAAAATAGAGTTTAATATATATTTTTAATTAATTATTTTTAGGAATAATATATCAAAACTTAAAACCATCAAGAAATCAGTAAACATTGGAGAGAGTGTGAGAGAAAAAGCAAATATTTGTAATTTGGAAAAAATAAATTTCAATGATTTCATTAACGAACAAACTTTAATCTTACTTAATGATAATTATAACATACTTAACTATTTAGACTAATTGTGTATATTAATAAATACCTACTATTCTTGTACTCATCCAATTGAGAGATTAAAATAGTTTTCTTATTCACTTGCCTTAGTCAATCACGGTCAAATTCGTGTAGTTAGACAAATTTTTTTTTTTTTTTTTAGATTTTATACCTTTTTATTAAAATATATATATATATATATATGTATAAAGAGCTCGTAAATTAATAGTATTATTTTTTAATTATAAATTTATAATGGCTAGTTATATTGAACTATAATAATAATAATAATAATAAAAGTGTAGGGAGAATGCTTTACCTCAAAATCTTTAGTTTACTTTCCCTCCACTCATTATTGGGTTATGACTCTGAATTTCAAAGTCAAAGAGAGAAAGGAAAATTAAGGTATACAAGAAAAATATAAAAAGTAAAAAGAAATGCATTCGGCACGTAGTCACATTGTCAAGTCACTTTACAATCAACAAAAAAGCAAATGGAATCGATGCAGAGACACCGAGCAAAGCAGAAAAATAAGGAGCTTGTTTTAACTGATGTCTTTCTCGCTACTTGAATTTCTAAAACTAAAAGATTAATGTTAATAAATCCAAATTTAATAAAACATTCTTTCTAATTATATAGGGGAGTGTTAATTAAGAGGGAAAGTTTTGTATTAATATATTTAATTAAGCCGAGGTGCAGGCCTAATTAATATGTTAATCATCATAAAATAATAATAATCTAACTTAGAAGTTCGAGATTAAAAATATAAATTAAAGAATAATGTGGTGGGAATAAATGTCCTGTCCTCTCCTGTCCCCATAAGACACTCATTTACCGAACCGATACTCAGACCCATGATGCTCTTTGTTTTTTTTTTAATAATTAACTAATCAACCTACCTATTGATGATAACAAACAAATTTAATTATTTACTTTTTAAATATGGGTACATCTTTCTAAGTTTATACTTAACCTTTAACTTTGTATTTTGTATTAAGATGATGACGAACACAAAATAAATTATAATAATTAGTAAATTTATATTTGGAAGACATAATATTCAAAATTATCGTATTAACTAGATATATTGCCAAAGTCTTGTGAATATAATATAATATATATGTACCCAATTTAGGATTTGAAAATTGGAGATGAAAATGAAAATGAATTGATACCTTTTAATAGATCATTCTTTCATATATAAAGATTTAAGCATTCATCAAAACATAAAGACGCCCAAGTTAAAAAGTAAAGATACTAGTTCCGATGGTAGTACCTGAACACAATTACTAAATTTAAGTAGCATAAGTACTTCCTCAACAAAATAATTACAACTTCTACAAATCTAATTGTAAAAACATAAAAATAAAAAATAAAAAATAAAAAATTTATGTTTTAGAAATAATAAATTTTTTTTAAAATAATTTTAGTATCCCTTTCTAACACCATATTGGGGATTAGAAATCCCCTACAAGGTCAAATCTATAACCAAAATTAAAGTGTGCAATTTTGCTTCTTAGATTGATCTTAATGTATGAATATGTTGCATACTCCACCAAACAATTCATCCATCATAATTTTTATGGACTATTGTAATTTCTGTCCAATCCCTATATCAAATAGAAGCATCACAATTGACTTTGATTATGCCTAAAGAGGGTATTTGTCGTACTATCTATCGTATAAAAGAAATTTCTGATTGTTCAAGCTGGCTTTTTAGAATATAGAGTTTCATCTCAATGATTAATGTTTGTAACATACATGATGTGAAACTCAAGATCAACCAATGTAATTAAAAATCTCAATATACAATTTTGTACAAAAACTTAATCCCTAAATAAATCATCTATATTTAACTTACAATCAATCTGTAATTAAAAAAGTAAATTAATTTGAATATCATAAGAAATATTTGAATAAATTAAAATCAACTCAAGAAATAAGATAGTTGATAAGTGGATTTTAGTTGATGAGTAG